GAATGGACCCTTGACAACTGATGTCATTTTAAAACTATCAGTTACTTTGAGTTTATAAAAAATGGTTTAAAGTCTGTAGTTTCTAACTTATTACAAAGTTTGTCATAGTCAACATTCAGGCTTTTAAAAGGGGCTATATCGTGTAAAATCAACTTTTTTGAGTTTTATATCATGTTATAACGTTATCCTCTCATAAAAAACACGCCCAAAGTCTTACTTTGACTCATTTAGCCATGTTTGAGAAATCCTGTAGTGTCCTGAGGCAGCAGGCAGGGGAGCAAAATGACAGGTGGGGACTAGAACCGCCTTTTGGGACCAGCTCCGCCTCTGAGCTGTGTCTCCAAGCTGAGCTTCCTCATCACGGAGCACACCTCCCCACCCCACACACACCCAGCCCATGACTCCTACAGGCTCTCGGCAGTAACAAGGCAAACAACTGGTGAAACTGAAAGTGAAACTGTCTGCTGAGCTCTTAACACCACTTCTCACTCAGTGAAGCTCTTTTCAGATTCAAAATACCTTTGAGGAAATGTATTTACAGATGCCAAGTAAAATGCATCATAGGACAGAAGCAGAAGGTGGTTCTTAAAGAGACAGAGGCCAATTTCAAGGCGTTTAGAAGAGGAAGTGATGAGAAGATAAGTTTATTTTCTATTTAAACATAAAAACAGCATTTTAATAACAGTTAAAGGTGACATGGATACTTCATTATAGTATAGTATTTAAATATATGTCTGAGAAACACCTAATATTGCCCCTTTAATACTTTAAATGTCTAAGGATTTATTTAAAGTTTGGGCTTCACCTCTTGATAAGATTTTGTTGTTGAAAACTTTACTGTGACATGATCCTGATTGTCAAATCATGAGACAGCTTCCAGTCAGCTGCTCTGACAGCTGATCATGTGACTTCCACATCATTTCCTCACATCTCTGATGGCTGTTTCCTCTACAGTCAGCCCGTCACCTTCATCATCATCAGTACAATTTATACAACTGCATCCGCATCAGGCAAAGAATGAAACTGATTTTGTGTCTAATTTTCTATAACCTCCCAGGTAGAACCAATAATCGACTTGTTCGTTTAAATTGTTTGACTGAACCAAGCTAAGTTTCGTCTGGTTTTGCAGGTTTGTCTCTAGGGGTGCACGTCCGTCAGTTTCCCTCGGATGTTTTCACGACAGCTGGTGCCGATGTTTGGCTTTTCTGCTCACACGAACAGGAGGACCACCGAGTGATTCTGTGGTACCAGCAAACAGCTGGAGACACGGCTCTGAAACTCATCGGATATGGATATGGACGGTTCGGGAACGACAGCGTGGAAGAGCCGTATAGAAAAGATTTTARATTAGCTGGAGATTTAAATGCAGCCAAGAAAAATGTCTCACTTTCCATAACTGGTGTAAAAGCATCTGAACACAATGCAAGATACTTTTGTGCAGCCAGAGAAGCACACTACAGCAAACATCCACAAGATGTGAACAAAAACCTCCACCTATGGCCCCTTCTCATGTTTCCTCTGAAYGTACAGCATGTTAAAGACTAACCCGCACACAGCAGACCTGTGGCAATCAGTGTTCTGTGGTTTTAAACAACTTATCACATGTGTTCATCTTTCTCCTAAGATCTGTGTCATCACAATTAGCTGTCAAAAACAGGAACATAAAAAACACACAAGCTTGTTCAAAATGACAAATCTAATAAACATTAGAGCAGGCAGTGCTGTTGACCACTTCAACGGTTTTTACTTTAGTTGAACCTACTAATGTGATCAACCAATCAATCAATATTTATTTATAGAGCCTGTTCCAACAACCAAAAGGTGTTTTTGCCATACAAAAGTTAAAAACAAACAATTAGAAGGAAAATAATACATACAAATGCAAGAAAGTCACCATTTTAAAAGCCAACCTGAATACAAAGGTTTTCAGATTAGATTTTAAAAGGCCCATCAGTGAGGGGTGCGAGTCATGAGGTAGTTGGTTCTACC